CGTCGGTTTGCGAATGGTTACGCTACGCGTGAGCGTGGCGCTCCGAATTTCGTTGCAGTATCGACAAAACATCGACTACATTGCCGTATATCGTTGGTTCGTGTAACCGACCCTCGAATTCTCCATCTCGTATGAACCGCTGTCACAATTTATATGTTGCTTTCTAAAATATTATTCCGCAGCGGAACCTGCCAGTAAACACGTTTATTCCTGGCCAACGTGGAACCTATTGATCCATCGAATCATCCATATACGAATTTCAATTTGATATTCTAAATTCCAGTCGCGGAAACTCGCGATCCAGTATCTTGCCCGCAACGTCATGGTTCGCGGCGCCACGCCGTAATATTTATTACCAATTAGAGCTGCAAATTGTCCGTGCGATATATTGACTTTAATAAACCTCGGCGTCGGCCAAGGGAGCAACTCCTACGCCGAGCCTGGCTCTCAGGGTTTTAACCCGGTCGACGCTGATAGCAGAGTTTATCAAGCTTTTCCTCCCGCTGATATTAAATTTGCGAACTCGATGATCGCCGCGCATACACCGCAGCCCCCGTGCCCACGTAATTCCCGCGAACGCGTTCGCGGGATTGCAATGATCCCGAGAAATATCGTTCACGAATCACGACTCCTTCCTCCGTCATCTTCTTTCATAAATCCTGAAAACCGAGAACTGACCTGGTGCCTCGTAACGCGAAAATCTCTCGTACAAAGTTTTTATATTATTTTTTCCGCAGGCGAAAGTTCGTCAGGCCGTAACAACGCTTTATTCCATCGTGTTACACGGTCTCGTCATAAATGCGTTATTGCGATGACGAGGGATAAGTTGGCGCTGCATAGCCCCTTTGTACGCCGAGATTCGCCTTTCTTCCTTTATTGAAATGCTTAATGTCGCTAGCAGCGTTCAACCGCGATGACAACGTCGACGTCGACGTTAGGTGTCACGGGGAAAAATGCGACCGCGCCGGGACGCCCGAGGAGCTGAATAATTGCGAGCGCGCGAAATCGACGCCGCGAGGGACGTCGACGGTGAATGGGCGCTGGTATCTTTAGCTTCGGTGAATGTGGAAATTTCACGTGCTCAAGTTGCCGAGGTATATTTAATACAACCGGTGAACTCGCTGAAATCACGTTGCATACAGTCCATTTAGAGGTGAAACTGGTTAAATGTAGCCGCTTAATCTCGAGCAAGGCTTTTCCATAATATTCGGTTTCGGTCTGTGAGGTGTTCGATCTAGTTCAGCTATCCTTCGCAGCGAATCGAGTACTTGAACGTAGTCATTTGCTCGTAGAATAGCCTTTCAAGAGCCGGCCGATAGAAAACAAAGCACTCCCCTTTCAATATCTATTCCTTTGAACCTTCAATTCGGTTATCAACTGTATTCGCTCGAATCCTAGCTTCGATTTTGCATCGAGTTTACGAGCTCGTTCAGCATCGAATAACGAATGAAAGAAACCCCTGAAACGTCCGGGTAATCCTCGATAGAAAGATCGACGAGCAGCGAAATGGAGCAGCGAAGTAGCAGGGGATAAAATGTCGTCTTTTGAAAGATGAAACGTTGAAGATAAAGCGCGCATGCAGCCGCGTGTTGTCTTCAAACAGGATCGAACGTTTGCCTGGCTTCCTAGGAGCTAGGGAAACAAAGAGGAACGTGGTCCGTCTCCGAGATGGAAATGTCGAGCAGTAACGAAGCTGCAAGCCGATAATGTGCTTACTCGGAACCAGCGAAAAGAGGATTTTAAAAGTGTTTGTGTGAAAAGCGCCTCGAAAGATAGGCAGACATGCAAGAAGACAGATGACAAATGGAAATCGTAAAACTCCATCGTCCAGTGCAAATAGCGAAGATCGAAACGAAAACTCGACCGTCGCTGGAAAATTATCAGAGGATTCGCCGAGCGCAAATTGATTTGCCGCTACAACGGAGGACGTTGTAGCATCGATAATTCGATTAATTCTTGAAATTCCGAAGTGTCCTGCAAAGACAATAGTCGCTGTCTACCAGAGAACGGTAATTACTCTGAGATCACATCTCGATGAAATCGGTCGTCCGCTTTTATCCCTTTCGAGTATTCTCCGGCTGATAGAACGTACGTTTTCGATGACGTACAATTCGTCAAAAGATCGGTGGATGGTTTCGATATTGAAATCATGATTGGCTGCTCCGTATGCCGTGACTCACGCTTTTCTATGGAAATTTATGAGTCGGCACGAACATCGGATCGACAGAGCGTAATAATCAATCAAACATAATTCGTAATGAAAAATGTGCCGAGCATCTCGTTCTCGTTATTCGACAGGCGATTCGCCGTTCTCACACCTTCGTTCGTGAACCTACGAGAAGCACGTAATCCGCGAATGAATGAAATCCGATTACCGTGCCTGTCGGCAGCTACGTTTGTCGTTCCTTTGTGAATCGCTGATTCGATTAGCCACGTGCCAGCCGATATTCAAGCGTATCGACGTGTAACGCGTATGTGGTTATAAATCTATCGGCATTGTTTAGACTACGTTTAGACGAACGCGGTCAAAGATTAACCGTTTGACCGGTTTCGATCGGGTCACGGCGTAAGAAGAGCCAAGTACAATGCTAAAGCAAACTTGGTGAAACGGACGCAAATTAGAGCGTACGCAAATAAGAGGAGCTGATTTATCGTAACGACGGACAAGTTTGACCGCCACCAAGGGTGTTTTCGACGATCCCTTTGAGCGATGCGTTCTCTGTCGTGCATTGTTCGAGACGGACTCGGGCAAAACTGCTACCGCAGCACGACAAAACTTGTCCTCGTTCGTCGACATCGTTCATCCTTTCCGGACGAGGGAAGCGCCTCGTCGTTTCCCGAACGATGTCACGCGTCGTGGACGCGAATTCCCTACTGTAAAGTGACAACGAATGATGTCGCGATGCCGAACAAAAGAGAAACGGATCCGATATAACGTCGCTCAAGTGATAAAAAGGCAATCGAGTCGGTTGGCTCGCGAGAAGCGATGCAGCTGCGCTCTTTGAACCAACTACCTCCCTCTGCAATAGGAACAGTTTTGTTTCACGGATCGATGTGCCTTTCCTTTGACGCAGCTTAGACGGAACTTATCTAAACGGCGCAGACTTCTTGGCAACGAGACTGATATTCCTACGTTGGAACATTGCTCTCGCTATGTCTCTCTCGTTTGACGCGTAAATGACTACGAATAAGTCGACGTTACGCGCGATATTCATTGTACCATTCTGTGATCACTGAAGAGCGTAACGACCAAAGCGACGATCGCGCGTTCCGCAGGATGTGGTTATTTCGATTTAAATTGTAATTTATTTAAGAGAAAAACCCATTAGATTATACACTGGTATATTACACATTGTAAGTTATAATTCAATCGTGAATTGAAGTGAGACGCGGTAAAAGGTTTCAATTGCTCCGGAAATTTAAGGAAATACATCGATGGAGGTGGATATGTATTGTTGATATTTAACGTGTTGCAATTAAAATCAGTAACGTACTTAAACGACATATCGTCGGATGCACCCAAAGGAAATCGTAGTGTCGTAAATTTCTAGTAGGAACATTGACAAATTCTCGATGATTCGAGGACGTTCTATAAGGCTATTAAACACTTTATAAGCAAACAAGATGTCGTGAGTTATTCTTCTAGGATACAACGATGCAAGGCCACGAGTAGACATTATGGATCGATAATCATGACACGTAAAAGGGTCGAGTTCGTCATAGTTGTTCCACGATTCGTCGTATAATTTTGCAATTACCACAGCGCGTTAAAATGTCTGTGCCTGAATCTCCAAGCTCGGCGACAGACAGCCTCTGATCTCGTGTTTATAGTCGGAGCAAGTTTATACGGTGTATCTTGAGGCGCGGTCTTCTTCGAGGAAACTTTATTCATTTTACTTCTATCCGAATAATCCTGTTTAATTAAACGTCGCTTCTCGTTCTAGTGGGTCGGCTTCTACTGGATTAGCCATCCGACCATATCGTCCCTTTCTAGTCAAGTCGATCGAGCTCCAAATTTTCTGCCTGTCCGACTACGCGGTTCAACGCAACCGAATTAAGGTTGGAAGAGAACAAGCAACCAAATCGATATCGAACTCGGGACGAAGACGTTGAAATTCCACGCGATAATGGGAGAAAGCGAAATTTTTCCCGTGATTTTGCTTCTGCTTTAAAAATACAAGGAATCTCTTTGTCTCGGCGCGAGACAGAATCCGTGTTTCTGAAAGCTAGCGACAGTTTACACTTTGCTTCACCAAGAACAATGCAAACTGTTCTAGTTACCGTCTGGCTGAAAGCGCAATTCAACCTCCTGACACGGAACAATGTAATTGATCGCGCGAAATGTCTAGATTATGCGCGCGGCTTGACGAGCTTCCCTATTGACGGAGGAATTGATTGGCAGAGATTTTTGTTAGCGCGGTCACCGACCAGCCAATCGATAGACGCCCGAATTGACAGAAATCAGAAGCGACACAAACCCCATTGACGGACATCGCGTCGATAGGGCGGACAATTAACACGATTTGACAAACTTTCCGATAGAAGTTCTCCGAGTACCGAATCGATAAATTAGTCTGTTAAAATTTTGTGACTGTCGACTGATCGACTAGCTAAACCTAGTTACGCGAAACTCTTGATTCCTCTAGGTCGCCGAAACGAATCGATATACGTGTAATTGTATTTTGTTTCGGACGAATTCGTGGAACGAAATTATCGCGAACACAGCCATGGCAACTTCTATCATTCGATTAAAGGCTTCGCTCGGGAATAGGAAGGAAATCTTTCAGGGAAACAAATAGCTGCGTAACAGGTAGCAGCGCGATATTCATCGTGCCCAGTCTCGAGACTCGAGCGAGCCGAGACGAATGAGAACGATCGGGCATAACGATCGGCTGGTCGATGCTATATTTTAGAGGAACGCAGGACGGAAGACTATTCGGCCAACTTGACCGCCGTCTAAATATATAATAGAATATAGACAGCGAGCATGTGCCACTCACCGAGTACGAGCAGCAGTAGAACTTGTTGCGGGAGCTGAGCCACCATTGTGGGCTCCTCCTTTCGCGCATTTATGACTTGAAATCGGCCGATTCCGCCGTGCACCGTTTCTACTCTCACGATCACAGCCACCCCTTGCAACAACATTCATTTAACGTTCCTCCCAGCTTCCACGGATTCGTTGTTGCTACACGATCTCGCTCGATGATCTTCGTCGATGCACGCGCGATCCACGATCACACACACTGACAAACAACCCTTTGTTTTTCACATGGATAGCCCGTGTTTCTCTTATATTTAGTACGAGCACACACGCGAATTTTGACGCGTTCTGCGCGTTCACGATCGCGTTCCTTGTTCGTCGCGTTTCACTCGCTCTCACTCGCGGATCACATACGTTTCTGCAATCTTGTTGCCACTCGGCTCTGGATTTCATCCGGCGCGTGACCGAATGTGGCGGCAGCGGCTGCAATATCAGTGGCCGATTCAGCGTGCAAATTGGCGACGAGCTGTGCTTGATCGCGTGGATTTGCCGGAGTTAGAACTCCGCGAATCCCCCTGGGACTATCGCGTTGAATCGACGCGGTTACATTTGCGTGCGAATCCACCACTACCTCGTTATTCGTACGTGACAAATATTTTCGACTCTCGAATGATATATATATACGACGGCAGAAGGAGAAAAACAAAGAAGAGAGAGGTAGAATGATTTATCGACGAGAGTAAAAGTTGATAGACCGACGGCCTAGCTTCGATAAAAGCGCATAAACAAAACGGCCAGGGTTATGCCGATAGGGGTTGTGTGGTGTGGTATTTTATGGGACGATAGGAAGGATCGAAGTATATCAGCAGCGTGACTGGCGATCGAATATTCCTCATAGAGAACAGCAAAGTATCGAAGCATCCGTGTAAATTGAAAACCGATAAGCCTGTTCTTCGATAAGCCGTGAATGGATTATCTCTTTGATTCGAGTGACTTTTGAGCGTGCGTCTCTTGCTTTCGAGACGATTACTTTGAATGATTTTTATCTCGTTAACGCTTACGCTCCGTCGCCAAGTAAAATGACAAAACGTTTTCACGCGTTTTCCCTTCCATTGACAATTTTTAACATCAATGGATGGATTTTTCTATGGAATACACGAGAACATGCGCGTGAAATGAAGCGCGAGCTTGTTTTCCGCGTGACACGTTGATGGAAGAGCTCGCGGCCTGTTGAATTTTTTGGTGAAATCGCGAGTTCCTATGGCTTCTGCACTTCGTCCTACGGTAAACTGTTTACCTCGGTTGTTAATCTCCTTCCCGGCGACGAAATAAAAACGCTCGTTTGGTTGCCGACGCGGGCATGGAAGAAACGAGAGAAAGAGAAAGCACGCGCCCCGCTGAAAATCGCCGTGCCGGTTTTCCCGTGGATACCGGTATAAACTTCTCATTCGTTTGTTTTTCCCTTGGCAGACTGAATATGCATAGCCACGTGAACAGCCACTTCGTAAAACCGAGCAATCTCATGCCTGATTTTTTTGGCCTACTTTGAATCGTCGTGCAGCCAGTGGTTAAGGCATGGCGAAAAAATTCCGACGCTCGAGTTAACTAGAATTTTTTACTTGATTCCAATGAAAAATGAAAATTAATTATTTAAAATTCGCCAACTATTCCTTTCATTGCCACGCGTGTCTGCGAGATGTCGTTTCAAAGCTTTCGTACGCCAAGGAAAAACTACTCGTCCTCTCTGAAGAAAAATCCGCGAAGTCCAGCGAGATCAAACGTTCGACGACTCGAGTCCCTCTTTAAATTATCTTATCAAACCCGTCCCTCGAACCGTAGCGATCTTTCGAGGCCGCTTGGCCGCCTGCCGAGATTTTTCGTGGATATTTTTGTCGCGGCCGTGCATCGGTCTCTGCTCCGACCGAATCGTCGAACAATATGTAACAGGGAAACCCAACGTTACTTCATGAAACACCCATAAAAGTCGGACCCTACCCTACGACCACTCGTCCTCCTACCCAATACTTTCAACCGATCCTAGTAACGATCAAGCGCAGACTCGTCCCCATAAAAAGCCGCACTTTTAATCGAACTTTACACGATTGCGTTTCACTCGAGGAGCCGCCACCCTCTGTCTCCTCGTCGTGATCGAAGTTAAGCACATAAACACACGTGACAAACAAGCGGAAAATCGCGAGGGCCGGACCGCAGAGGGTAGGAAAGAGCCACGGCAACGAGATGTCGCACGCGGAGTCTCACCGCCGACTGACTGTAGCACGGCTCCTCTTCGTTCACCCCTCCTGGCCTACTCTTCGCGCGAGCACGCGGACTAGACGCGCCGGTATGATTCG